GGATATATCCCTTTTATAAGCTATATCAATGCGATGTCTACTTGTTCGATAAACTACTGCCTTACATTCCCTATTTCCCATGTTTTCATTGCTTCTGTGCAACACACATGGCTGCAAATCATTTGTTATTATGTAATAAATGAGGCGGATCACTCAGGCATTGCATTTATAGGAGGTTTCTAACATTACTTTAGTGAAAAGACAGTAGCCACTCCAAATGTCAGTATCAATTGTGACATCACAAACTGCCTTACGATGTTGGATTTGTCAGCCTCACCAATCAGACAGCTAAATCTTATAATAAGCAATACTAAGACCATTGATACAACCTTGGACCAACAGCCATTTCTCTCTCTGGTATTGAAGAAGGAGGCTAATATTTGTAAAAAAGTGTTGAAAATTTTATCATAAATTGTTTATTTATAAACTTATATCTCACTATGCATTCTTCTTTCTTTTTCGATCCTGAGTGGAGCCGTGTCTGAAATAAAGGTTTCCAGCTTCTAAAGTGAATTAACCCTGTCATACCTCACATAGCCACGGTCACCTCCCAGATCTGGGTCATGCGCGCTATGCATGCTGGCTGACCTACTTGCACTGATCACGTGTCTATCCCAGTCAACTCATTCTCTTTCAAGAGCATATGGACTAAGGAAATATGATGTGGGGATGGACAGGTGGGCATATAACGATGGTTCGACGATCTTCGTGGAACGTCAGAGGTTCAATGAGGTTCAGATTTCTTTTGCTTGTCCGACAGTCACACCTCGGGAGTACGGCGATGTTCAGAGGTTTGACGAAGTTTGGATGTTTGACAAGGTTCGAGGTTCGGAAGTACAAGGAACCTACGATGGTGGGTGATCCAGCGAATCATCTCAATGTCGAGAGTGAGAAGTCTGTTTGTCCCAGTGTGAATGCCAATGCCCAGATGATTTCACTGAATAAAGTGCAGTGACTGTCGATGCTTGTTGATCCGGGGATGAATGTCTATCGTCTTGTGAATCCTTTCGGGAATGGGAGGTTCGTGAGCCTTGATCTGATGAGTTGTCATACGACTCCTGGTCTTGAAAGGATCGATCTTGCAAAGATCGTTGAATGGGAGATTTTGAACGACGGACCGAACTTGTAGGGTTGCCTGAGGTACCAGTACTATGTGTACCCTCCAAAAGTAAAACAGGAGCAAGCTCCAAGTTAGTCGTAGAACACGACGAGACGAAAGTCTGAACCTCAGTCGGATTCGATACTTTGGCTGAAGTAAGCCGGTCATCTACACTCGTGTCTAACAAGAGGACACTCGGGATGTCGACAGTAGGTTTGGCTTTGAAGGTGGATTTGTGGAGACCTTAGACATGTCACCTGTGAGAAAAGAGTCAGAGATTCCGTCATCATCTAACGAGATCATGGAACCAGTGGGATCCCTAGTATCATGGCCTGCCGGTGACGGTGATCGGGCCGACCTTTTTAACGTGGATTTTTCTGCAGTCTTAGAGAGACGATCTGACACCCGACGCCGACATTTATGCAGGTACAGTTTGAAAAACCAAAATGGATTCCTTGTAATAACAATACGTTACCACTGCGTGGCAATTTGAAAGAGAATGGGTTGACTGGAATAGACATGTGATCAGTGCAAGAAGGTCAACAAGCATGCATAGCACGCATGACCCAGATCTGGGAGGTGACCGTGGCGATGTGAGGTATGAGAGGGAAAATTAACTTTAGAAGCTGGAAACCTTTATTTCACACACACGTTTCCACTCAGCATCGAAAGAAGAAAGAAGAATACATAGTGTGAGATAGGATAAGTTTAAAAAAATTCATTATATTACCTCTGAAGTAGTATTACCAGTAAACAAAAAAATGGTTTAAAAACTGATTTAAAGGGAGAATTGTTTGGGATCAGTTGGCAAGACAGAATCAGGTAATTCAGACAACACCTTTCCCATCTGGTTACTAAGTTTATGATCTAAATCACTGCACCATAAATTACTAACAACTCTCATTAAATAGCTCCGTGTCTAAAGACCTGTACGATAATCATTAAATTGTCTTGCCCAATGCTAACAAAAAATGGCAGCAAAATGTGTCCCTTTAAGACAAGGGTGGATACAGTGTTTAAAGCTGCACTCAGCAATATTCTAGCTATATGATTGCGGGCTGTCATTAATAGAGTCTGGAAGACAATCCAGTGATAGACATCATGAGTATCGATCCATACAACTGGGATACGATGACATGCATCAACCAAGTCAGCGAGCCTGACCATACAATCCCGATAGTCACCTCTTGCAACAAGCATAGTCACCTCTCACGGCAAGCATGGGTTGATGAAGGCCTATTTTACCCGGATCTTCAAGGAGTTGGGTGGATTAAGGTATCTGTTCTGATGACAAATATCTGCATCTAGCAATCTGGACTCCCAGAAGTGAAGGAATCCATTTCATAGCGCAATGAACAACAAGAAAGAAGTGAGCAAAGCTCACATACCCCCGTTATCCCCTCTGGTCAACAACAAATAGTAAATAGTTTGTTAATTAATGAAATATTACATATTTCTAACTGATTTTAACTTCAATGTTTTAAAAACTAAGATTGAGTTCCAGTGACAATTGACCCCCCCCAAATCTCCCATGTTACCAGTGTTCACTACGAGGAAGGTGATCACCATTAACACCTTTGAATACAAATTTGATTGAGGGGTTACATAAGAATAATTATCAAAAGGACCAAAAATTGTTGATATAAAAACACATAAAAAATGGAACAATATCATATAAGAAAATCAATAAATTAATAATTTCCAGCTAGCCTTAACAGATATGGTAAAGAATTCATAAATTCAAACTAACACAAAACACAGATACTTATGATGATCTACATGAGTGGAAACAATTTTGGAAAATATATTAGCTATACAAAACCAGTCATCAAAATTTCTAAATTCCATCATGTTTCCATGAAAACAGCAAAAGAGAAAACTTTCAGAATCTTATAAAAGATAAAAAAACAATCATAGTGGTTAATGTAGCAAGTTTGCTGAAGCTAGGATACATAATATTGTAACCATAGATCGTTCAAAAACTCTACCCAAAATTTATGTTTCACCATGATTCCATGGAAACGGCAAAAATAAAAAAATTCAGAATCTTCAAATTAGCAAAAGGCACAAGTACTCATTGTGGTTAATGTGTTTAGCAGGCTTGATGAAGCTAGGATGCATAGTTAAAAAGATATGGGCCGTACAAAACACCCACCCTAAAAGTTTAAGTTTTATAATGTGTCCATGGAAACAGCAAAAACAAGCATTTGTCACAGAGTGACGAAATATCCCCCGCCATATACACCATAGTACCAAATATGAAGACAATCCAGCGATTAGTTCTTGAGATATTGTGGCAACACCGTTTTCCAACTCCAAAAACAGATTTGCCTGCTGTGACCTTGAAAATGGGGTCAAGGTCACCAAATCTGACAGGTGTATGCGGTGTCTGTATATACACTATAGTTCCAAATATGAAGACAATCCAGCGATTAGTTCTTGAGATATCGCGGCAACACCGTTTTCTAACTCCAAAAGCAGATTTGCCTGCTGTGACCTTGAAAATGGGGTCAAGGTCACCAAAACCGACTGGTGTCTGCGGTGTCTGTATATACACCATAGTTCCAAATATGAAGACAATCGAGAGGTTTAGTTCTTGAGATATCGCGGCAACACCGTTTTCCAACTCTAAAAGCAGATTTGCCTGCTGTGACCTTGAAAATGGGATCAAGGTCACCAAAACCGACTGGTGTCTGCGGAGTCTGTATATACACTATAGTTCCAAATATGAAGACAATCCAGTGTTTAGTTCTTGAGATATCGCGGCAACACCGTTTTCCAACTCCAAAAGCAGATTTGCCTGCTGTGACCTTGAAAATGGGGTCAAGGTCACCAAAACCGACTGGTGTCTGCGGTGTCTGTATATACACCATAGTTCCAAATATGAAGACAATCCAGTGTTTAGTTCTTGAGATATCGCGGCAACAAACAGGTGGGACGGACGGACGGACGGACGGACGTACGGACGGTCGTGAATACTATATCCCCCGCTTCGCGCTTTCGCGCGGCGGGGGATAATAAAAAAGTTCAGAATCTTCAAACTAGCAAAAGGCTCAAGTACTCATTGTGGTAAATGTGTGTAGAACGTTTGGTGAAGCTAGGGTGCATAGTTAAAAAGTTATGGGCCATACAAAACACCCACCCTAAAAGTTTAAGTTTCTGATGTTTCCAAGGAAACGGCAAAAATTAAAAAATTCAGAATCTTCAAACTAGCAAAAGGCACAGGTACTCATTGTGGTAAATGTGTGTAGAACGTTTGGTGAAGCTAGGGTGCATAGTTAAAAAGATATAGGCCGTACAAAACACCCACCCTAAAAGTTTAAGTTTCTTAATGTTTCCATGGAAACGGACGGACGGACGGACGGACGGACAGAAGGACGGACAAACGAAACGCTATATACCCCCGACTTACTTCGTAAACGGGGGTATAATAACATACGCTCACTCAGACCTTCGGACTTAGGAGCCTTGGAAGCAACAGAAGGCGAAGACATTGTCATTAAGCAGAGATGCCCAACCAAGGCAGTTAGCAATACCTGGCATAATTGGTGCCTCAAATTAGTTATAAAAACTTAGAAATCATTATTTGCATATCTGACCATACAATATGGTTTTGTTCAAATTTTATCATCTAAACATGCCAGATTCCGCAAACCTTCCCATCACAAGTTAAAACAAAAGTTATCAACTGATTAATTGATTATTAATGCTTGTACAAGACATTAAATAGCAAGGTCAGTATCTAGTCAAATTAAAAGCAAATATTTTTCGACCAAACTTGAAATTATATTTCACTAAATCGCATCAGTGGAATTTGGTTCATATATTGTAATGATTTCACCCATACTGGCTGGCACCTCTGTTAAAAGTGAACTTTGGAACAATGTAAAGTGGTTCTCACCTTGGAAGAAGAAAGCAGTCGTCAGACCTCTTGCCTCCCCCGTATGAGCCCAGCAGATGGAGGGGATGGTGGGGAATGGGCACTTTGATGGGGCTGACATTTTCGGAGGAGGTCTGAGACAGTGACGATGTAACTGCTTCCACCGCCTGCGAAATTAGCCTTTCCATGTGCAGCATCCAAGCAGAAGTCTCATGGAATGCCGAGTCTGAAAACATCACACAGTGTCACAGAAGAACAAGGGCAGATACATGGATGTCACACATGCACCCGCATACATAGGAATGCCTCATCACTGGTCCTTCCCCTTCATCGACGGACCCAGCTGTTTCGCTTCCCACCTTCTGATAATACGATAAAACAATGGAGATGGGCCATCACTGAATGTATGCACAATGATGTGTCTCCTGACGCACAGCACCAGTCACATATGTTCACAAGTGACAAACTAACATGGACTTGAAGTAACTCCTCCATGCACCCATCGATTGTTGGACAGCAACTGGTAACTGAGCAGAAGGTTCTTTTTTTATCAAAGCAAATGCTTAGATGCAAGCTTACAAGATAATAGGCCATGTGCCTCATGTTTGTAATTTTAGATGATGTTGCAAGTGAATCAACATACGCGACAAGTTTCAATTCTTACAGAATATCTACAGAAGAGTCCTTTGATTGGATTTACTGTTTGTATGTGTTGTGAGCAATGACCCCTGCTGTCTTGGTGTGATGACATGCAATTAACCACATCAACAAGCCTGACCACCTGAAACATAAGAATGCGTCTTACGACCATATATATTACCACCCGGAATTCCCACAGGGTGGCCTCTTACGACCAGCATTGTTTGCTCGAGACCTTCTCTAACCCGGAATTCCCACAGGGTGGCCTCTTACGACCAGCATTGGTTGCTCGAGACCTTCTCTAACCCGGAATTCCCACAGGGTAGCCTCTTACGACCAGCATTGGTTGCTCGAGACCTTCTCTAACCCGGAATTCCCACAGGGTAGCCTCTAAAGACCAGCATTGGTTGCTGGGGAGACCTTTTCTAACCCGGAATTCCCACAGGGTAGCCTCTTACGACCAGCATTGTTTGCTCGAGACCTTCTCTAACCCGGAATTCCCACAGGGTAGCCTCTAAAGACCAGCATTGGTTGCTGGGGAGACCTTCTCTAACCCGGAATTCCCACAGGGTAGCCTCTTACGACCAGCATTGGTTGCTCGAGACCTTCTCTAACCCGGAATTCCCACAGGGTAGCCTCTAAAGACCAGCATTGGTTGCTGGGGAGACCTTCTCTAACCCGGAATTCCCACAGGGTAGCCTCTTACGACCAGCATTGGTTGCTCGAGACCTTCTCTAACCCGGAATTCCCACAGGGTAGCCTCTAAAGACCAGCATTGGTTGCTGGGGAGACCTTCTCTAACCCGGAATTCCCACAGGGTAGCCTCTAAAGACCAGCATTGGTTGCTGGGGAGACCTTCTCTAACCCGGAATTCCCACAGGGTAGCCTCTTACGACCAGCATTGGTTGCTCGAGACCTTCTCTAACCCGGAATTCCCACTGGGTAGCCTCTAAAGACCAGCATTGGTTGCTGGGGAGACCTTCTCTAACCCAGAACTCCCACAGGGTAGCCTCTTACGACCAGCATTGGTTGCTAGGGACCTTCTCTAACCCGGAATTCCCACAGGGTGGCCTCTTACGACCAGCATAGGTTGCTAGGGACCTTCTCTAACCCGGAATTCCCACAGGGTGGCCTCCTACGACCAGCATTGGTTGCTAGGGACCTTCTCCCAGCCGGAATTCCCTGAGTGTGTCAGCACGACTGTCTTAATATATATCACACATCTCGACACAGGTACATTGTCACACACCTACCTTACTGTCTACCTGTCTGAGTGTGTCAGCACGACTGTCTTAATAGATATCACACATCTCGACACAGGTACATTGTCACACACCTACCTTACTGTCTACCTGTCTGAGTGTGTCAGCATGACTGTCTTAATATATATCACACATCTCGACACAGGTACATTGTCACACACCTACCTTACTGTCTACCTGTCTGAGTGTGTCAGCATGACTGTCTTAATATATATCACACATCTCGACACAGGTACATTGTCACACACCTACCTTACTGTCTACCTGTCTGAGTGTGTCAGCACGACTGTCTCAATATATATCACACATCTCGACACAGGTACATTGTCACACACCTACCTTACAGTCTACCTGTCTGAGTGTGTCAGCATGACTGTCTTAATATATATCACACATCTCGACACAGGTACATTGTCACACACCTACCTTACTGTCTACCTGTCTGAGTGTGTCAGCATGACTGTCTTAATATATATCACACATCTCGACACAGGTACATTGTCACACACCTACCTTACTGTCTACCTGTCTGAGTGTGTCAGCATGACTGTCTCAATATATATCACACATCTCGACACAGGTACATTGTCACACACCTACCTTACTGTCTACCTGTCTGAGTGTGTCAGCACGACTGTCTTAATAGATATCACACATCTCGACACAGGTACATTGTCACACACCTACCTTACTGTCTACCTGTCTGAGTGTGTCAGCACGACTGTCTTAATATATATCACACATCTCGACACAGGTACATTGTCACACACCTACCTTACTGTCTACCTGTCTGAGTGTGTCAGCACGACTGTCTTAATATATATCACACATCTCGACACAGGTACATTGTCACACACCTACCTTACTGTCTACCTGTCTGAGTGTGTCAGCATGACTGTCTTAATATATATCACACATCTCGACACAGGTACATTGTCACACACCTACCTTACTGTCTACCTGTCTGAGTGTGTCAGCATGACTGTCTTAATAGATATCACACATCTCGACACAGGTACATTGTCACACACCTACCTTACTGTCTACCTGTCTGAGTGTGTCAGCATGACTGTCTTAATATATATCACACATCTCGACACAGGTACATTGTCACACACCTACCTTACTGTCTACCTGTCTGAGTGTGTCAGCATGACTGTCTTAATATATATCACACATCTCGACACAGGTACATTGTCACACACCTACCTTACTGTCTACCTGTCTGAGTGTGTCAGCATGACTGTCTTAATAGATATCACACATCTCGACACAGGTACATTGTCACACACCTACCTTACTGTCTACCTGTCTGAGTGTGTCAGCATGACTGTCTTAATAGATATCACACATCTCAACACAGGTACATTGTCACACACCTACCTTACTGTCTACCTGTCTGAGTGTGTCAGCACGACTGTCTTAATATATATCACACATCTCGACACAGGTACATTGTCACACACCTACCTTACTGTCTACCTGTCTGAGTGTGTCAGCATGACTGTCTTAATATATATCACACATGGTCGCAAACACCACCCTTTGCTCTCTTTCAACCAGAGGATCTAACTGGCTTACAAATGATGTGTTCAGGGGATAAAACCCTGCTGATGAACATTGAAAGTGTGTCATGCAGTGTAATCATTGCATCCTTATGTGCACACATGCTGCATGCCATCATGCATGCTTCAAAATGCATATATAATTAACACAGAAAAGCAGGTTGTGCGCATTCAAGTCTGGAACAGTTTTCAACTCTCAACATATCCATGAACAGGATTTCAAATTTGTTCATTTTCAAGGACATTGACTATTTAATCTCCAAAAGGATCTGAAATGTTTTTAATAAGGCATGGTAATGATTTGGAAGAATGTTCTGTCAAATGTTGATAAAATCCTGCAAACGTCCTAATGCCATTTATCTCAGGCAAATTCACTGGTGGAACACGACACTTGACACAGATTTGTCTGGACTAGCTCAGAGGCCAATGTTCGGCCCCAAGTTTCAGTGTTCCTGCTGTCTTTTGAAACTCTAGAAATTACCAGAACCCCCTAATTTTGGCCAGTCATAACTTTCAACAAATAAAAAAATGTATGAAAATTATTTGGTTTTAATTCTTTCAACATCATATTCATTGCAAAGATGTCATCTCTGAAGTAACTTAGTTAGATCTTTACGTCATTCACACAAACTTCAGTCACAATTTTCACTCATTTTTAAAAAATATTTCGAGACGAAGTCACTACAAATGGATATTTAACCTAGAAATAGACAAGGGGAAACCCTGCAGGTAACAGACAAACAGACTTTGTTAAAAAAATGTACTTATATGAATATCACCGGCTTCTTTGTTCAACCAGAAAGATTTATAAGGTATAGGTAAACGGGAACACTGCAGTGACTGTTCCCAAATTAGAATTCACAATTTGCAATGTCATGTTATTAAAGTACTAACTAATGTCATTGCTTGGCAGAGGTGACATGCAGTTCACGGAGAACAACCGATAAACAAGAAGAGGCTGCTATGTTTAGTTTGCATTGAATGAAATGATAAAATACTCTTGAATTTATGAAAATATACACTTTTAAAAAAATTTCAAATTTGGACAAAATTACCTTTTTTCCTAAAGGAATAGGAAATAGGAACTTAGTAAGGAATCCTTGACAAATTTAGTGTGTATAATACCTGCTTGCTCCACGGGTGGTCAGTTTTGGAAAGTTGCACGCCCGAATGTCAGACTATTATTAGTTTTCACTAAGTTACCTTAACATTTGAGTGTTAATTCAGTGTAAGAGGTAAATCATCTGTAAACATTAACATGATTAAGCACATTATATCTAAATATAATTTCAATGAGTTAGACTTACTAAGTTGACAATCCGCCAGTTGATTGTTATTTTTTTCTGAGAACTGACATAAAACAGTACTGTTCGGATGTTTACCCTTTTGTTACTTCTGTTCAGTTGTCTAGACAATTCTGAACTGGCAACATTCTATCTGGTCTGGTAACTTTACAAAGATGCCAATGTGGTTGTCTGACTGAAGTTTGTGGGAATTTTATGAGTAAAATATTTCATTTCATTTCATATTTTTTCCACTCAAATACTAATGTAATTCCCTGGTTGGTTCTACAAAGCAAACTGCCTATCCACACCTTATGAATACTCACATGACTATTTCCTCACCATGTACATTGGTGTTTCCAAGTTTCAACATAAATACGCTTCGGGTTTACAAATCAAATTTAGGGTATCCCTAGATTCAAACACTATACATGGGAAACCTCTGAGGCCCCCCAAAACCCTCTAGTTTCGAACTCTTGAAGCATTCAGGCCTGCATGTCTGATTTCTGTGTCTTGAAAATGAAGTAAATCAGTTGGTTCTGAATGTAAATGATAAAGGCTGTGCCATTATATTGTTGGTATTTTATTCACCCTGTTATATCTGACAGCCATGGCATCTCCACCCACACCCTAAAGGGAGTACCAACGAAGGAATACTCTTCTGTGTGGGTCTTCTTGTGTAAAAATCAAACTTTTCAGATCGAGGTAGTAAACAATTTAAACTGAATCATTTTACAAAGCTGACATCTGACTGGCTCAAGAACCTAATCTTCCTCTATTTCAATTGGGCAGTCAAAGCTAGCTCAGGGTCAATCTGATATAATCTTCTGTGGAGGGTCGTCAGATAGTCATTTGTTTGGATGTTGTTTACGCCGCACTCAGCAATATTCCAGCTCTATGATGTCAGTCTGTAAAATATTTGGGTCTGGACCAGACAATCCAGTGATTGATATCATGAGCATAGATCCAAGCAATTGGAATAAGATGACATGCACCCTGTCAGTGAGCCTGCCCACCCAATCCGTTAGTCGCCTCTTACAACAAGCATTAAAACCTCTTATGACAAGCATGGGTTGCTGAAGACCTGTTCTAACCCGGATCTTCACGAGTCCAGGTCTTCATGCAGAGTGAGGGTTTACAATTCAATAAGCGTATGTTGTTTTGCTCTGAGTAATCAATACTTCAGCCATATCACCATGTCTGAGGAGTCTGTAAACATAGTAAATAATCAAGTTTGGGTAAGTCAAACCTTTGAGTTTAGCCTGTTTTGCCCACATATAAATATGTGACCCACCAGGGGAAAAGGGACCTTATGGGTGCCAGGATACAATTGTGCTGTGACGTCATAAAGACACATGTGCGGACTGTACAAAAACATCTAAGTTTTCACCCGTTAGTTCGTAAAGAAAAAAAAGAAAAAAATTCAAAACATGTCAATTTATCAGACATTATATATAAACACTGCAATCAATACATAAATAGTTATAAGTCTGAAAATGGAACTTTGCAGAAACTGAGTCCGAATGTAATGAGTCTGTAATAATATTAATTGAAGCGTATGAATTGCTATTTTGTGGTCCTACGATACTGAAGCTTTAAAATATAATAAGAAGTCAAAATGTAATTTTCACCCATAAGGTCCCTTATCTCATGTTGGAAACATATATAAATAAACATACGTTATTTTGAAGACACCCTTTGTAGACGTAAATCTGGAAACTGTACAAGACAAACCAGTGCTTGACATTATGACCACAGTCACACGCAATCAACCAAGTCACACGCGATTAACCAAGTCACAAGTCACACGCAATGAATCAAGTCACACTATAACAATCATTTCACATGCAATCAACATATATAAATAAACATACGTTATTTTGAAGACACCCTTTGTAGATTGAATCGGGGAACTGTACAAGACAAACCAGTGCTTGACATTATGACCACAGTCACACGCAATCAACCAAGTCACACGCAATCAACCAAGTCACAAGTCACACGCAATGAATCAAGTCACACTATAACAATCATTTCACATGCAATCAACATATATAAATAAACATACGTTATTTTGAAGACACCCTTTGTAGACGTAAATCTGGAAACTGTACAAGACAAACCAGTGCTTGACATTATGACCACAGTCACACGCAATCAACCAAGTCACACGCGATTAACCAAGTCACAAGTCACACGCAATGAATCAAGTCACACTATAACAATCATTTCACATGCAATCAACATATATAAATAAACATACGTTATTTTGAAGACACCCTTTGTAGATTG